CATTCATTCTCATCCTCCCCTGCTTAGAGTACGTAGTCTGAAATGAAGCTCCTCATTTGTTTTGCTTTGTTGCTTGATTGTTGCATTCTCATCCTTTGAGCCGTTGTTGAATCAAGGCTTGATGTGGGTTCATCAAGAAACAACAATGTGAGAGGAATATGTACAAATATTTTTTCTGGAAGAGAAAGAATAAGAAAGCAGACATGAGACAATGTAAATTCTAAAAGCAAAATGTTTTTATCAATGAAAAGAAAAATTGAGCTACCTGCATATGGTGTTTTTACCTTGTAATGAAAAAAATTGTTAGATACATAATAGAAAGTTTCATTTGTTGATATTGTTATTCCCCAATGAGCATTAGAACTTCCATATGAGATGGGGATTATGATAGAAAAATACTTAAAAATTCAAGTTGAAGATTTGTCTCGTGTATTGACGAGTGTGGTTCAAATAACCGAATAAGATGAAGTGAAAATCTCATTCAATCTTACGATCCGCAAGGGTAAAGGGCATATAGATGAGAATCGGAAACTCAAGGTAAAAGCTCTGTGACATTAAAATTTTCATATCTTCTCATGTTTATCCTTTTCTCTGATTTTCCAAAAACCTAAAGGTCATAACAGGTTAAACATACAAGGACCTACACCACTAAAAGACCTTAAACTTGATAAAAAGAAGCATCAATAAAAATAGACAACTGCTTCAACTAAACTATTCTTTCTCAAATAACAAAAAAATTAGGTATAAAGACATTGATTAGCAGCTCTTATATCAAACATTGGATCAATACAGGCTTGTTTTTGNAGCATCAATAAAAACAGACAACTGCTTCAACTAAACTATTCTTTCTCAAATAACAAAAAAATTAGGTATAAAGACATTGATTAGCAGCTCTTATATCAAACGTTGGATCAATACAGGCTTGTTTTTGCTGTCATATTAGTGTGTGCATCCAAATGTCAACATTGCCAAAGCAATTGTCAATGTTTTCTCTCTCCCTATATGTGTTTTTGCTGTCATATTAGTGTGTGCATCCAAATGTCAACCATTTTATTTTTCGAACCAATCCAAACCAAACCATAAATTGCGGGTTGGTTTGGTTTTAATCCGCGATTTACCTAT